TCTTGTATCTTTGAGCCTATTTGCATTCTTATATGTATACAGTTTTACATTTTCACTATTACTGTTAGTATTATTCTCCTTTTTATTTAACTGCTTCAAGTTTTTTCCACCCTTAAAGTCTCTCTCCCTGGTTCCCCTGTTATTCTCCCCAGGAGGGGGATGGGGGGATCATAGAGAGCATCTGTCAAAGTTCAGTGGCTGGCTCAGTCTTAAACTTCAGCAGGTTTATTGGTGCCACGAACCAATTTCATATTTCATAGTTTTGTAAACTCTAGTATTTGCATATTTATTTTTTTTCGTTTGAAAAACCTCAAAGGTCATCAATATGGTTCTAAGTCCTTAGACACTTGGGATTATGGTCAATCGTCACATTGCTCCCTAATCTGTCATATCTGTTGTCATATTATTTGTCTCTCAGTGTAGGTTTGGGGGTTTTTTTTGGTCAGGAGTGTTGAGCAAAGGGCATTGGTTTTCTGTTGTGTTTAACTCCACTCATCTATTTTGGAATAAGCTGGATGGTGGCTTTACCTGACCATCTGGGCACTATTTGCTAAGTCTTATTGCTAATTATACTCCAAGTTTTTTTCACGGGATATTAAAGTTCTTTTCATCAAATTGACTCCATCAGGGTTTGGAAGTTCTGGAAATTGCTCCCCGTGTTTCCATCTGCTAACCTTATTATTGATTATCACTAATATGCTGCTGAGGTGGTTTATTATTAGTACACAGAGGTGCAGGTGTAGCTTAACAGACAATGCCTCCGTTCCTTTACATAAGGAGGCTAAAAGGACGGATACAGCTGCCCCTTTCTAACCTTCCATGGAGAGAAGGGAGCCAAACCACCCCAAAAGCCACAAACCATGGGCTGAGCTCCTGAATTGACACCGATCTGCCCAGGACAGCTGTATGGTTGAAAACAAGGTTTGTCCCTTACGGGTGTGTACAGAATACGTCACGCAGAGCAAAGAAAAAGGCAAAACTGAACACATGCAATGCTTCAGGTCTTTATTTTTGCTGTAGAGTAACTGGTACATGGTTAAAACATTCTAATATAATCAGTGAACTTGGAAAACTAAGGCTTTCTGTAGGTTTGTAGTATCCTGGTGTTTCCTTTCACACAGTGCACATATAAAATCAAGTTATAAAAACACGGATCTTTTTTTAAACAACACAGACTGATGCAATGCACAAAACTAGAAACTGCATTTTGCATGACCAAGACAACACCTTACAGACCAGCCCCAGGCCTGGCAGCTTTGAAGCGAAGAGAGAAATGTCTTGGTCTGACGTCCCGCTACCCAGATTAGCTTGATGACAAACACAGATGGCAGGATTTCAACCTTCTGTTCTGAGCAGAGAGAAAGAAACCCCCAATGCTGATGAGGAAACATTTGATTGAGCAAATAGGAGCAGTATCCTTAAAGCACATCTCTGATCTCAAATAACAAAAGGAACACCTGGAGGTCCTGGAGATGGAGCAGTTGCTGCTGAGTGGAGCAGCTGCTGGGACTACAAGAGAAGGTGGGTCATGACGAATGTGCTCATGAGTGGGACGAGTCTTGGTGCCAATATGCATCCCCTGAAAGAGGGAGCACCAGCACCTTTAATGCAACAGCACTAGAAACACTCCTAAGTGATTCACCCAGCATAGAATCATTCAGGCTGGAAAAGGCCTTTAAGATCATTGAATCCAACTGTAAACTGACAAGCCCACCACTAAACCATATCCCCAGGTGTCATCTTGGTGTACTTCAAAGAAGGAAACAGAGCAAGGACAAAATAAGCTTCCAAAAAATCTGTATATTAGAACCTTTGGAGTATAAAGCCACATTTTGACCAAAGGGAAAAAACAGCATTCACAGAGACATCTTCCCCCAGTTCCTTACCCACTTTTTAAACACAGAAGCGTCTATATCCACAAAGCTTTTTCTTTTTATTATTCTTTTCTTCCTGTCTTGCATTTGTAATTGAGCTAGAAAATGATGCACCCAATGTGAAAATTTCTATCTGTAACACAGCCAACACCCTTCCCTGTGAGAGGCAGATTCTACACTTAAAATGTCCCGTCCTGCATCATGGGGTCAGGCACTGCAAATGTGACATTAGCAGCTGACAGGACGAATATTCTTGCTCTTCGATCCAAATATATGAGAGAGGAAGATGAATTACAGATCTGGAGGATGTTTACCACATTACAGTAGGTTACGTGTTTGGCTCCAGCTGGGATAAAACCCCTTGTAAGGGTCAATGATGGATTGCATTTGACTTTGATTTTCAGAGCCCAGTTCTAATCACACGCCAACATGAACATTTCACTGCTCCGTGACCAAGACTCACACTGATGTTTCTGACACATTTGATGACACCACAAAGTTCTCCGAATGACTGAGCTGGCATTTATGTCACCCACGTATATAACCTGTCCTCCAAAGTAAATTCTGAAGGCTACGTTAAGGCTATTGGAGTAGGCTGGCCCTGGTTACTCCTGGTATGAACGTCCAGCTGTGGCTCAGGACAGACTAGAAGCAGCCTTTTAGGTCTCCTCTGCATTAACTGCAAATGAGGTTTTGAAGGTTTTCCCTTGCAGCGAGTTACCTGGGTATGTAGGGAGCTGCACTAAAGCAGAGTACTAGGCAAAGAAAAAAACAGGCTACGTAGATTTAAGCTGCAACCATGCCTTTGATATCACACAGTTATGTTAAAAACAGTCTTTGTAGTGCGGAAAGGATCTCCTTCCACTCGTGACAATGAAACACCAGTTATCAGTCACCGGGTACTCGAATATAAATATGAAAAACCATTAAGAAACATAACTCTAAATATAAACCTAGCTTTATTTATTTTTAAGAAAAAAGGGATTAAAAAATTAGAGTAGAACAGATGGCTTCAAGTACTTTCCACATAATAAACAATCAGTTACTGTAAGCATAGATTAAAAAATACTTGTCACCTTGCAAGGGCCGGTTGAATAGAGGCTGGTGATTTGTTCAAAAAATGGCCTTTGATACAAACACATTAGACAACATGTTTAGTGTTGCAATTTAGAAGAAGAGAGATGTGTCTACCATGTCCACCCAATGCTTGAGATACTCAGCACAGCACAAGATACATTTTACACTCCATACTTTTCACATTTCAAGGCAACATCACTCAACACGTGGAGCTGGGCTGACACGGTTTAGCTCAAATAAGCCATTGTGGAGTAAAAAACAAGTATTTAGTAAGTCAGGAAGGTTTTGCAGCAATATAGTGGTCTAACACCTCCAAGATTGAACCCCAGAACTAACCTGAAGCATGTCCTAAGAGCTGGCAATGTTTATGTCTTTTACTACGTGAGCATGAACATTACTTTCATTGTAAATGACAAGGAATCCACTTGAAAGTGCCTTGTTTGATTTTAAGCCTTCAGATTTTTTTATTTTTTTTGGGGGGGGTGTTGGAAGGGACCTCTGAAGATCATCTAGTCCAACCTTCATCCCAGCATACCTAACCACTACACCATAGCCTCAAGTGCTAGATCTACTTTTTTTTTAAACACCTCCAGGGTTGGTGACTCCACCACTTCCCTGGGCAGCCTGTTCCAGTGCCCCACGACTTGTTCAGCAAAGAACTTCCTCCGAATATCCAGTCTGAACTTACCCTGACGCAACTTGAGGCCATTTCCCCTTGTCCTGTCATTAGTAATTAGAGAGAGGAGACCAGCACCAGCCTCACTACAGCCTCCTTTTAGGTAGTTGTAGAGGGCTACATGTCATGAAAATAAGGGAAAGCGTTACAGTGGGAGCCCCAAAAGAACTCCTCCAAAAAATCACGTAGGAGGTTCGAAAAGCAACGATGTCATCAGGCAATCAAAGGGAATACCGCAAAGGGAAGACATAGCTCCATTTCCCTGTGCTGCAGTGAGTCTGAAACCCATCTCTTGCACCTAGGAGGAGACAATCATTGCATCAGATGCACAGCTCTGGCTGACACACACGGAACAAGCAGTCTTCCTGCTTACAGACACCTGAAATGCCTAAGGAAACAATGTAAAAAAAATCAAATGCTTTAAAAAAAATCAAAAAACCTGGCCTACTCTGAAAAAGGAATAAAATGTTTTCAATCAAATCACGTCTACAAGGAGATCGTTTGGAAAAGCATTTGCCAGCTACTCAGAGACAGACACGTATTTTTGCCTCTACAAGAAAAAACACCAACATGAAACAACAAAAAACCAGCTCCCCTATCCTGCAACCCTATATACTACAGTAGGAAAAAGCGTTCCACAGCTAAGAGGGAGACTTTAACAGTGTGGAACAGTGAGAAATAAAACCTTAGCTGCATAGGTTGGTCTAGTAAATAAGCAGTTAAGAATAAACAGAGGTAAAGCCAGCAGTTCTCTCTATGATGGCAAAAAGACTGCAAGGCTTAAAAATCCTTCTTAGTGACCAAGCCAGAAAGGCCGAACAGTAGTAGCTTCGGTAGTATTCGGAAAAGCTTACGCGAAAATATTATTTTAAAATAAGTTTGAATATTTGAAATAGAAAAAAGAAACAGAATGACTTCTCCTCCACTTCCACCTACCAACAAAACATCACTAAACTTAGCAGCTTTCCAAATCTCGTGCTTACTTTACGCCAATGTAATTATACAGAAATCCTAAGTCTGCTTCTCTTAGCTGGACAGTTTGGGTTTCTATATGAAAGTTCAGTGCGTGTCACGTTTATTGACGTCCTTACGATTGTTCAACAATCCAGCAATTTGTTTCTTAATTACAGCAGAATGCAGTTGCTAGCTGCTTGCAAGAGCAATGTTGAAATTACATTCAGAGATAAAAACTACCATTTTCACGTGGAGCAATAACTAACATTTTTCTTTCTTTTCACAGAATCAAGTGCAAATGTCTAACAACAGTAATAGTAAGAGACAATTCTCATGCAAAAAATCTTCTCTGTGCGTAAAATTTGCAGGACATCTCAAACCCACCTATTTTTACAACCTTTCTCTACCCCAGAACTAACCGCTTTTCACTTTCGTGTCGTGAAATTTCTGTTGCTTTTTAAAGTACTGGTGACAAGCAAGTTCAATTAGTTCCAGCCCACCAAATACCTTTTGCTGCACAACAAAAATGACGATCATGGCTGCAAAATACCACCGTGCAAAGCTGTAGAGGTACAGCAGTGCGAGCATACCCAGTGGGAACACCGTCCAGTACAGGAGTGAGATGCATTTGACCGCGAGGACCCTGAGCTCAGATTTACACGGTGGAACAATGCTTTGCCCTGTTGCACCGAAGCTTTTTCTGCCTTCGTAGAAATGTCGGAGTCTCTCCTCTTTCTCTTCCCAGCGCTCTCGGCACCAAAGCTGCAGCTCCTCCTTAGATGTGGGCACTGTCTCTATGGGATATCTCTGGACATGGAAGTGAATCTCCTTTGGGAAGTTTCCATTCAAAAGGTGCTTCTCTGTCTGAGGAATGTTTTGGGGGTATGCCACAGTTATGTCATGGATAGCATCGAGATTGTCACCTGGAAGAAAGGTTTTTGGGGAAAAAAAGATCAATACAGTGGTCAGAACACTAATTCGCTTCAAGGCACGACTGAAAACTATCAAAGCTGCAAAAGAAAGCCCAAGGATACATTAAAAATGCAGAGTATGGTTTATCTGCTAGAATCTATAAATGTTGAAAGGTCAAACTTTTCCCAATCATTATCCGTTCTGAATCTGATCAAAAAACTTTGGGAACAGAATTATACACAGTGTGAACCAATGCCGAATTATAACATTGAGTAAGAGGATGAAGTCAAATTTGAAGGAGAGAAGAGGCACATCCAGTCTTGGATAAGGAGCACAGTATGTGAGACTAATCTTCAGTTATTCATACCTGTGCTGCAAGCTGAAATTGCTTTTAACTAATGAAATACAACTTAGTTTAAGCTCCTGTGAACACTGAGGAAAATTCAGTCTGATCTGGGTCAAGCAGCATAGACAATCCTAATTCACTGAAGACTGAGAAAACATACACCAGCTAAGTATCAGGTGTTCATTAAATCTAGGGTATCTCACACAGGATGAGGATTATCTCTGTAGCTCAGCCAGCTTTGCAGGGCACTCTAGTTAACACAATTTCTTTAAATCTGACCGCCCAGAACTGTAAGGAGGTGAGCTGCTGCATATTGCATTCTTGATCCGGTAAAGACAAAAGTACTGCACAAATGGTGGAGAAGCCCAGCTTGAAGTAAACCACAAATAGCTAGCTATTTGGGTAAAGTGAGTATAGTTAACCACTTAAAAAGCAATTGCAGATGAGAAATTCAAGGGAATACTGATGAAAAAACCCTCTACTCTTCATTACCATGCCTGATTGAGCCAATTCTCTTGAAAGGGTATCAGCATCGCCAAAGCGGGGCTTGCTGGCACGTCTTTGTACTAAGTGTTTTTACATTTTGCATTTTCTAAATAACCTCTTTATCCTCCTGCCTCTGACCAGACATTCTTTTTAGATTTCATAAAATAAATTCTGCTAGTGTAAAACTGATCTAAAAATAGGCATGTGGTGCACTGGATGTTGCATAACTGTTAAGTTCTGCCAGCAGTGATTTATCCCGCTGTTTTTATTTGGCTGGCTGGCTCAGGGCAAAATAGAATTGGAGACTAAAAGCTGTCTCCAGTTGCAGCGACTGAAGATTTTTTTGCTCACGGATGATGTCACTTCTTGCAAAGATGATCAAATCCTACTCTTTAGCCCTACTCCTCCTTTCCATTTGCTCCCCCTTCTCTGGCATTTTGGCTTTTCTTTACAGCTCTAAAAATGACAGGGACAGAATAGTAAGTTACTTTAAAAGGCCACATTCAAAACGATGTATCTAAAGTTCAATTCCAAATATCACAAGCAGGGGAAAAACCCTATTAAGTTTTTTAGAGCCTTTTATAACTCTGCTGTCTTATAACAATCTCTCTCAGACAGTTTTGTGGCAGGTTACCTGGGTTTTTAAAGAGGTATACATATGGCTCCTAGGAGGTCTGTCAGAGCAAAACTCAACACTCTAGCTTCTCTCTAGCTATGGGATCACATCCTGCGTAAGCAGAGAATAACTGGATTCTGCACAGCTAAAACCTTTCAGATCTCCTTCCATGTAATGCCAAAATTGAGCGTGTCTTAAAAAGCCACTGCTTACAAAGGGAAATGATGGCCAGCCTGTTGTACCTTAGCACAAAGTATTTTCATTTTGAGAACAGGTTCCATTTTTCCTCCCCCTACTCCAATTTTTTTTGCCATCAGAAGGAATTACGGTCACCCTCCAGGACAGACATCTCATAGTTCCTGGCCCAGCCAGGGAAAGGGTTGCTACGTACGCCTCTAAGAGACACCCATTTCTTACACTCTGTCTTCCTCTGGATTCTCCATAGCTACTCAGGTCCCAACGGCAACTAAAACCTACAGGCTTTATCTCAAGAGGGAGGCCAGAGAAGTTCAGTCTTCCTGAAAACCTTCTGTAAAAAAAAGCCTTCTATGAAAAACAGTTTTTGGCTACACGAGTTTCTCATCCATCTTGCATTCATTGTGTCTTTGCAACTAAACAGTGAGCCTGCCATTATGTGTAAATGCTCCTGAAAAATCAAGGCCACACACAGGAGGATCACAAGCAACAAATCATTTGACTTGCTTAAGATATTCCGACAAATATTCTGACTCTGTGCAAGTGTTGGACTGGCAGCACTGGGCAGGACTCCCACACAGCTGGCTTCATCCCTTCTGGGTGCAGATATATTTCTGCCCATGAATTTCTAGTCAGGAACAGGGAAGCCTCTACTTCTTACCTATGGATTTGTAGCATCTCCAAACAGGTATCTTCTAGCAGAGCTTAACACCAGACTGGAAAAGGTCTACACTACTTTATAGCTTCTAAATTAGTAACTCAGAACAAAGCTCAAAGAGCTGTGTGCAGAAAACCAGACATTACTCTTTCTGCATTACAAATGGGGAAACTGAGGCAAAGGATGATTCCATGTCCTGCTTGGTGTGTCCAACTCGAACCAGCACCTCCTAATTCACATCTGAAAGGTTTCCCTATTAAAGCATATTTTACATGAGAAGAAATGAAACTTCAAAGGTAGATTTAGCATATCTGAAAGGACAGAAACTCAGAAAGCAAGACTGGAATACCAGGTTTCATATGCAAGAGGATTAGAACCTTTCTCAACAGGCCCCTTGTTTGGGTCATACATATTTAAAAACCCCACACAAATGGCAGCCCCAAGCTTTCATTCCCTGTCAAGGCAAGCATGCGAAAAAGACCAGCTTCAATTAGTTTTCCACAGCTGTTGAAAGAAGCATGCCCTGCTAGTATTATGTGCAGTAAAGTGGATCCACAATGCACACTTGCACAAAAAGGTTCTGCATACTCTCTGTTGACTTATCAACGGCATCTTTTAGTAAGGACGGGATCAATGCGTCACTGCCAGACATGCTACAAGCAAATGTGGTAAAAAAAAAAAAAAATTAACTGCAGCAGATGAAGGTAGAGCATCTGTGAGCATCAACAAAATTCCCGTTGGCTAGGTTTAATCAGGCAGTTTTGAACCTGTATCCTTGGCTAGAGCATCTTTACTGTCTCTGTTTCCCTCTGAAGTTAAGCTCTCTGGAGATACCCAACAGCAGATGTTTCAGATCAAAAAAGCAAAACTAAGTGAAGATACAGGACATTTTAAAGATCATTTTCCCACCTGAATTTAAAGATCTGCTTAAAAAAATCTGCTTCTGCACATTTTAAGAAGAAATTGCCCTAAGAGAGGCCACATCATTCTACGTCTCCAGTGGGTCAAAAATGAAGTAAACAAGCATAGCTCAGAGAAGCTATTAGTGGACAAACCACTTTCTGCAATGCTTTCAGTGACATCTGAGGGATCTTCTTTATCCTGTGTGTATCCACATTGGGGAAGGAATGAAGGACAGAGAAAAATCAAGTGATGTTCACAGTTTTCCATCTGAACTCTAATTATGCTAAGAAATTGCCATTAAGGTTAAAATACCAGGCAAGAAGTCCAGCTCTTAGGATGAAGAGACACCAGTTTCAGTAGCTTTACAGTCTCACAACTTTATTTGTGCAGTAGAACTCTTTATCTTTCATGTCCATGAAAAATATTCTGTCCTATGCCTTTTAAAAGCACCTCAGGAAAGGAAAGCTTACAGCAGTGCTCAGGAGTAAATATAAAGCTTTTTCGTAATTATTGTTAGATGGCTATAAACTGCATAACACACAGATGATGATTAATCCATGTCGTGGTCCCCATGTTGGGGATGACAAAATGCCTCCAAAGCACTATTCTTTTGCTTTTTAAAACTTTCTGTGCACCAATCCAAGTTATTTATATTTCAGGCTCTGTTGACACATGACATTACTTCAAGTGACTACAACACACAGCTGGTTGCTTTGGGCATTGCACTCAGAGGTGGCAGAAGACAAACTTACTAGGCTCCTGACCAAAATAACAGCATTAGAGATAGATGCTTTCTTATAAAAAACCCCATTCCCATGGAAAAATCATGACATTTTCTTTCACTAGCCCCCTCAGAATTTTTATTGTGTCTTACGAGTTGCAGCGTCCGGTAGCCCAGCAGAGGCGCAGCTGCCGCAATTCCTTGCCCCAGCTGGGAGCAGGTCTGAGCATGTACTCTCATGAGGCACATGCTCACACAATGCAGACACCCATGGGTCAACACAGGCAGAAAACACAGCACCCCAGCAAATAAAAGCCTCATCACGTTCCCTGCTCTGGCCGATTAGCAAAAAGGTCTTTCAGTGGCAGTTACATATATCTACACAGGCAACCAGTCTCTCCAGTCACTGGCCAAGCTGCAGCTGGCCCTGGGCCCTTGGTCTTTGCAGGTGCTGGCACGTGGACACACAAGCTCCCGGGGCCACTGTCCCTCTCCAGTAGCTGGTACAGACCCTTTGCCCAGGCATACACACACACAGATGACCCCTCCAGGCCTTGGACGCTCAGGGCCACCCAGTAGCTGGTCTTCAGATCCTCTCTGCTCCAGCTGCCTCACATAGAGGCAAACATACAAACTGGTCTCAGCTGACCCCAGACCCCACAGTCTCATGAGCTGCTGGACTACACCTTGCAATCCTTCCCGTAGCCAAATTGGGACCATCTGACCTCACCCGTTTCTGACTGAGCCTTACACTCACTTTGATATATGGCTCCCAAGCCTCTTGCCCTACCTGCCTGCTAGCCCTGCTTGCTAGTCACTGGTGGTCACATGCTGACATGTGCAGCCTCACTACAGACATGGTCTCTACCCCTGATGGCACTCAGATCTCCATACACACACCCACAGAGTCCCCTCACCTAGGAACAGTTAGAAATGAGATTTAATGAGAGGATGGGGCAGACTGGGCTCATCAGGCACAAGACATGGTCACATAGGTGAGGTGACCAGTCCCATTTACATGGGACCAGCCCCTTTTACCCCTTAACTCCTCTACTTCCCCAAACTTGTTCCTCACAAACCACCTTG